TATTTAAATCACTTTCAAACATTTTAAATTGTCCCCCATAATATTTCTGTACGAGAGATGTTTATTTCAGAATTTAGCACATTTTAAAAGGAAATTAAAATTAACACCTGTGACTTCAATAAATGAGTACAATACGTTCCTGTTTTTAGAAATTTGTTAAAAATGATCGCAATAAAATATTTGATAACGAACTAGAATTGTATATGGAAGCGGTCATTCTTGAAACACAGTTTAAACTTTTTCTAGAAGAGCGCAAATCTTCCTGCGAAAAGTTTCGTTCCACTTACTTTCTAATTTATTAAACGATATTCAAATTCCACTATTTTTTTTTTTAATAAGTTAGAAATGTAGTTAAAATTCTCGATATACTGCCGCTCGTTTATTATCAACAACTTGTAGGTTCATTCAGAATACGAGCTGGTCGATCTTAATCTAAAAAATCAATCGATGTAGTAACGAAGATAGCAACCGGTAAACAACATACAAGACGCTGCATTCTACACAAATATCAATAGGGAAAAACTGCTGCGAAAGCACGCAGATCAATATGTTCTTTTCTTGGTAAGAACATCGTATCATATGGTGTACGAAAATATTTAAACGTTTCAAACTAAATGATTGCAATCTGAACGATCGTGAACGTTCAAGTGGCTCTCGAAAATGTAACGAGAGAGTGCAAAAAGAAATAAGACATAAGTCAACAAACGGGAAAAAATTAATGCTGAATTTGCTGGAAAAAAGTCATGTATTTATTGGTATACCTAATAAATACTATGGAAACACGTAAAAAAGCAATTTATAGTCGAAACTAACTATGATGTTGACGTACTAAAATTATCAGTATTTTAGAAAAAAAAGACTCGATCATCTAAAGAACTAATATTTATCAACTCCTCCAACTTGATTTCTACTACTTCACTATGCATCAGAATGCAGTAACAATACATTTCTTAAAAAACTACCGAGTTGCGTGAAACATGCATTAAAAGACGTTAACCAAGTACGTCGAATATCAATTAACGAACAGTAGAAGCAAGAGCCGAGCAGCAGTTCTTGGAAAAAGGAGATTTCCACCACTCGACATCTGTCCAAGCTTCCACAAAGATTATACTATTCAAAACAGGTGAAATTTTGGCTCAGCCAGATTTCGGTGAAAATTCATATCCGCCTGGAAACCTAAAGAAAAGCGATTTCATCCTCACCCACAGAAATTCATAAAGAGAACCGTGCATAGGAAGGAAGGTCGGTTGAAGAGGGCGAGCTTTCTTGTGCCGCTCACCTCCAGAAACCAGCGTATTCCCAGTTAGTGTGGCGGAGACAGCAGCGCGCACGGTCACCAAAAATACCCACGAAGGATACGCAATACCCGTGAGCGTACAGCGGCACGGGATCGCAGACGTACGCGTGCGTACGCCTACGACAGAGAAAACGCATACATCGATAAGGAAATGCGTGTGTGTGAGTGAGCGAGTGCGTGTCGACGCAGTCGCAAGGATCGTCAGCCGACATCTGGCCGCACGGTCCTTCGCCCCAGGGACCGAGGGACAAAGAAGACCTTCCCCCTTAAGAAAGGGGGGCCTTGGGCTGGATTATATATGATGGTTTCTCGCTCGCACGCACGCCGGTGTGTATCTGGTACCGAAGCAGTCCAGAGTGGTTGCTCAACACCGACGGTCTGCAGGCACACGTAACGACCCCACCGGTACCGTTTCTATGGTACCGTTCGTAGGGATTAACGCCCCTCCCGCTCGCAGACCGCTCCACTTTCATCCGGGCTGCGGGGTGAGACCAGCCTTGGCCTGGGACCAGACAGCTATGCGTTCTTTCCAACTGATGGATAAGCAAATGATCACTATACGTAAATTAATGCAACCTCTCATGTTCTTCGAACGTCCAATCCATTATAAGACCAAGACATCATGGCTGACCATTGTTCAAATATATCGGCTATACTAAAGTGTAAGAGGAATTAGTTTAAAAAAATTGTGACCATGCTTGTCGTTAGCTCGAATAATTGCGACTTTCAATTCGTTTCAAACATATTCCGAATGGTGAATAAAACTGTCAGGGAATAACGATTGTTTTGCGATTAGTATACTTAATAATTACTTATTAATGCACTGTTCTATTCTGCGATTCTATTTAACATTTCGTGAAATTTATTACCAGATTCAGGGAGAATTAAAAATAAAATATTAATGCATTCCTGTTGCCTGTGAAATGAATCCGTTTGCAATGAAAACCTCATTAAAATGTTATATACGTATTGAAGTTTTACTAATGCTTTATTAAAAGTAGCGAATTATGAAGATAACTAACGTTATTTAAAATATATAGAAAATTTAAGAACTATATTTTAGTTTCATCGATGTTCGAATGCTCCTGGATTAAGTATACAATACTACCATTATGGTTGCGCAGGTAGACTATTATTGCACCCTAGAATTTCTCAGCGAGCTTCGAACAGGTCTGTTAGTTTACGGAAAATTTTGTGCAAGCAATTTTCGAACGTCTTTGAACGATTTCTCAGTACGACTGAAAATGAACTTTGTCCAATAATTACGAAAACTTATAATTTCATCCCCCTTGTGGAAGTAACTGATTGGAATTTCAAAAATTCATTTCGGTGAACTTGAATATTTAATTTTCAATTGCTCACAATAACAATCAACGTACTATTATTTTACACTGATAATTGAAAAATAATCATTTGTATTTTTCGCCAAAATATTTCAAAATGTGACCGATCGTTCTTTCTATACTAGCATAGTTTATACGTTTAAAAAAGTATGTAAAATGCTCACCTGTCCTGACGGAAACAGTATCGAGGATCCTATCGTACGAGTAATAGATAGAAGTAATAACGCGAGATTGTTCTAGCTGGTGTCATAACCTTCGTATGAAGCTCGTTTAACTTGTATACATACATGTAACGTAACTAACTCGACATACGTAACGGATTGCATAATTTCTTAAAATTTTATGTTTACTGAAAAAGGTCGTGTTAATCCTCCCCATGCCCTAAAACGTTAGTTAATAGAAGTATTACATGTTTTTGTGCAGCTTATTACGCCATTAACACAGGTGTTGGCAGGTGATTTATTTTTTGCGAAAAAAACCAGACAAATATAAAAGTAGATATCGAATATTTGACTCTGGTAAAGATGGTTTAATAGGCGACGTATTATTGGTTTTATAGAATTTTTAAAACGTGGTAAACGTAAATATTCATTTCTTTATTATTAGAAAAATGGGAATGCATTTTTGCATTTTTCAAAATCTCATAACACCCAAAACCGATCAACGGCAACAATGCTTTCAAAGAAGCCCACGTGTGACACGTTTAAAAGCATTTAAAAAGATGCTTGGATGACGAACGGAAGACGAAGAGGTGATTCATGATCGAGTACAAGATTTCCAAATAATCGATCAATTCGAGGAAATACAATTCTGAACACGAGGGGTAAACAAGAAAACCTGATTGTCGCTCTTTTTTTGCACTTCCTGTTAGGACGATACTGAACAATCCAAAATCAATAGGCATTATTTTATGGATAGGCCACATTTGGTAAAGAAAGAAGAAGGAGATAACGCAGTTGAAAAAAGGGAAAAAGTCACTTTCTGCTTTATGCAGCAAGTAAGAGAGAGAGAAAAAAGTCAAGGGCAGCAATAGCCACTTTGTTATCGACACTGCTGCATTGCTTATCATTCTACGGTCAATATTTCTTTTTCCGCTCTTTTTTTTTACTTCTCTCTCACTTACCTGATTCAACATCGTTAGCGCTAGTTTGCGCGCTCTCAGTACTCCTCTTATCCTTTTATCGGCCGATAACGCCAATCTCGAGTAACATAAGCGATTGCAGTGAAAAAAGGAAGTAGAATAACACCATGGAAATGCTTTTCACTACTCAAATTTGTTGATGCCGAGTGGGCGGCCGTTCTCCATATTGGAGAACGTACTCGGGAATGACCGCAACCTCGTTACAAACGATGAGTCTACACGCGGTGTCGACTTTTCGTCACGACGTGTTCCTTTCGAAATGCGCATGTATGCGCACATTTCTTTCTTAATACCCTTGTAGACTGAGTAAAATCATGCTGAAAACCGAATGATTCTGTAATTGGAGTGTGATCGGCCCCAGACTATCGATCGACGACGTCTAAGGGAATTTGATAGCACGGACTTGCTGTTTGTGTAACAAGAACGTTTGCTTCGTAAAGGGGGAATGATCATCAACTTATGATAATCATTTGGAGAAACCGTCATCGTTTCACTTGTAAACACAAACACATTTATTCTTGTTTAAAGTGTGAGAGATGAAAGTGATTACCAAAGTAACTAATAATAACTAACATTCGATTAATAAAATTAAATGCTATACCTTAATGTCACTACTGATTTTGTTAGGATAGTTTATATTGCAGCATATAAAGATTATTAATTGTATAAAACACGATGTTAATGAACCTATCCATTGAGTATGTTGCAATTCAGTTATCCTGGTACCTTTCAAAGTTAAATTTACGGCATTAATTTTACAAAACATTACACAATACAGAGTTTTAGTTTATTTTCAAAATGCCACATAAATTGGTACAAAAAGAATTGTTTATTACCTTTCATTGATTCATGAACTTAGAATTATTAAAAGTGGAATATTGCACTATGCAATTCAAATAATAAAAATTGCAAAAAATATTTTATAAATATTTCAATGCACAAGTTTTCAAGTAACGGGCATTATATTTGATTGAAAGTATTGAGTTCATTTTATTCATTTGTTATGATTATAACAATATGAATAAACATTCTGGTAGGAGTAATTAAATACATAGTTATTCACTCCAAAAGAATAGCTTTGACGCTTTAGAATATATTGAGAATGGTTATCTAAGTTTAAGCTAATATGCTAAATTTTCTGTTAAAAAATTTCAAATAATTCTCAAATGCAAATCAATACGAAAAGTTATATATAAAAAAATGGTAAAGTTCTACTCACCATTTAATACTCTTTTTGATGATGTTGCTGACAATTCTCTGAGATTTCCTGGTAGGTAAAGCAAGGACATCGTTACTTTTCTTCTTTCTGGTCCTCTTCTCTCTAAAATTTTTCTCCTGCCGACCATCACGAATAGGAGTTTTTTCTTCTTCAATAACCAACTCTTCAACTTTAGCAGAATTTTGAACCCATTCTGCTATATGATCTTGAACTTTTTGATCTGTCGATAATGCAGATTCTGCTCTTAATTCTTCTTCATTAATAAGTTCACTAACAATTGTAGGAGGCCCTACAATTCCAACTTCCATATGATCTACAGTTTCTATAGACTGTTTTATTTTAGTATCTCTTCTAGATGTTACAACTTCAGTTTCTGCAAGAACGTTTATTTTGTCATTTACAGTTTCCATTATATTTTCTGTTCTTAAGTCTCCATCTGTCATCACTTTAGGTTCTTCAATATTATTTTTCTTCTCTTGTTCTAAATTTTTGGATTGCATAGTGGATTGTCGAACCTCTGTTGAACTTACATTTTCATGTACTACTTTCAATATTTCATTTAATGTCTCCTCTTCTTCTGAAATAGTATTCTTCATATCTTTTACTTTCGTAGATGAATTATCCATTTTCTTAGATTTTTCTTCACTACCTGTTTCGCTCAATCTTGCATTTGTCGTTATGCCTTCTTTTGGGTGTGTTTCATTTTCAGATACAGTATTTTCAGTTTTACTTGAATACTCAACATCTGTACATAACTTTTGATCTTTTACTTCAGCAGCACCAATTATTTTTAATTTCTCTTCGCAAGAATTATTTACTTCTAATTGATTTTCGTTAGAAATATCTTGCTTCTCAATATTTTCTTTCTTATTCATGGATGTAGTAGGATCGTTTAACACTTCTTCCTTATCCACTATATCTATTAGATCTGTGCTTTTTATTATACTCTCAGCCATTTTTATGTTAGATTCTTTTAAAGATTCATTTGCAATATCTAAACATGTATAAACATTTCAATAATAAAGAACTCTTGAGGTATTTTAAACCTACTGCTATCATGTTACCATGTGAGCATATATCGATTTGAAAATTAAACTACATATTTTTGCTTTCATACAATATATTATCCACTTGTATGTTTCATTCTTATCCTGTAACATAAATAAAATGTATTAAAATTTTAAACAATAACTTAATGAAGAAATAAATTCCGTTTTCCAATTTATATATTTTACGAATAATTTCTTTATAATGACATTTATCGACTGATGGTCGGTAAAAACGATTACACAAATATAAATTTATCTACAATATTGAGGTTAGAGTTACTCTATGTTGTAAAACACTATGCCATAAACATATACACAAATTGTTCCATATCAACGCGTTTAGAATATCAATAGTATATAATCATTTTCACATTCAACTTCTTCACTTATTTGAAATGACGAAATAATTTTGGACATTGCATTATACACGAAATATTATATTTAGGTATAAATATTAAAAAGTCGATGAAAATTAACTACTAATATTTGATCAAATTATTTTCTGCGCAAATGATGTCCCAACGTTTATATCACCATTTCTATTTGCAGAAATGAAATTTCTATATATTTTTATGTACAATATATTTGCAAATTGTATTAAAATATCTCAGCTTACTTAAAGAGAATTGTAGTTTATTTATGTCATTTTTATCAAGTTTTACTAATAAACACGAATACGTAGTGAAAGATTATACCAACTACGTTTCAGGTTATATAAATTACCTTCTATCACATATTTTCACTTTATAACAATGAATGCACTTTGTATTCACAACATTAAATACACTTTAGAATCAATTGTAATATTTGTTTGATTTAAAAGTTACTTAATGACACCATCAAAGTATAGCATTATTGGCCGACACGTTCATAACCTCACTTATCCTTCCTTTGACAATTCAATTTCGACAGTGAAACGGAGCAACACGGGAATGCAAAAATAATGACAGATGGTAATCTTGAACTCAGATAACTAATATTAAAATACAAGAAAACAAATAAAGAGGGCACATAAGATACTGCACACTAGAAGAGTATAAAACCGCAAAGACGTGTCAATCAACCCTCTTGTATCTTTGTCTTTTTGTCTTTCTCTCTTTTCCAAAGAATATTCTTATTATTATACTATGTTTAACGGTCGCGTAAACAATCTCTTCCAGACAATGTGCGATATACTTCAAACATTTTTTACGGTACCGAAGTAAAACGAGAACACGACCCCGTGGTACATACGTAAGGCTAGTGACCTCTACCTCTTTGAAATATGCGTTTATGTGTGCATGCATGTATTTCTGTGCGTCATGTATTATAATAAACCGATGTGCTTCTACCTACCATTAAACGCAAGTTGAATATCCACAATTCTAACACTCGTAGAATTGTACTTTTTGTCCGAAACTATCGCGAAATAGTTTAAGTCAGTCGTTGCACATACTAATGTATTTACGTCGCATTATATGATATTTCATGCAGATTGCATCTTCGCGGATTTTTTTGTTCTGACCAATCAAACGCGTTTGCACGTTTCTCTGACAGCGACGCCTCTCGTGAAAAGTGAACACAATGTTAATTGCCACAGTACTTAATACAAAGTTATGATACTCTCTTTGAGAGAAAAAAGCAATGCAAACGTATCCCACGACAGAAAAATTCTACGTACGCAAAGCACACTAAACTCAGCCTATTTTTCGTTTGTGAGAAGCTGCGCGCGTGTACTTGCAACAAAATGGCCGCTTACGATATAGTACTTATTCTTGTCACACGTATTTTTTGCTTTGTACTTTTTTCCCTGTACATTCAAATGCTATTATTCTTTTCAACTGGATTATAGCAATTACTTGAGCTGCATTTAAAAAAAATTAATCGTTCAGTTTATGTGAAAACTGCAAGCAATTTGAGAGACTCAATAATCAATTTTTGGATAACACGTGTGACAGTGGCGCCAACTTTAAACTTAATAATTGAATACATTCAAAAACACTTTTTTAATGTTTGTTTGATATTAACAATTTATTAATTTACTGAATTATTTTCAGGCATATGTTTATAGAAGACTTTCATGAATTGTTAAATATCAAATATTGTTGTTTAGTAAACTTCATGTTTAGTACTATACAGATTTTAATAACAAGAGTATAAAACATTTTAATGAAATTACAAAATTAAATTAGGATAGTGTTGTTCTTAAGAAAGATAAATTTATAAAACTCTAATCTATTGTGTACGTTAATGTTATTTTATGTAATTGATAATTAACTTCATTTTGAATCAAATAAAACAAAATATTTATTACTTTTTTGTAAATAAATATTCCCTTTTTTATATGTACATGCATATGTGTACATCCTTTTTTTAAATACATATGCTTTGAGATATTTTAATATTTATTTGATATATTTTGCACTTTCTTTTACTTACCTAAACAAGCTTACATTGATATAATTTCTTACATAGTATTTATGTATCTTAAAAGAGCAAATTGAAAATTATAAGGTCCTTTTGTAATATTTGTACATATTGCTGGATAAAGAAACATAATATTAGGGTTATAAAGAAAATTATAAAACAATCTATTTTTTCCACAAATAGATAAACTATAAATGTACAAATGATATTTTTGATAAAATTACATTTGTTTCAATTATTTATGTTTTATTAGCATCATACCCATTTATAGAATATATATATATTTGTATGTTTAATGATGTAAGGACTGTGTGGATAATTTTTGAGGAAAGATAAAGGATACTATGTTGGTTTTGTATATTTACAGATTATTTATGATTTATAATCAATAATGCCGTACAATATATATCAACAAAATAATGTTTTAGTTGTTTTTATGTAGCTAATAAAATCTAACGAATAAACAGTCAAGGTTGATTTAAAAGTTGGCTCTTCTCTACACCACACAAAACCTTTCATTCATGGCTTCCTTTATGTCTGCTACTTAACAGTAAATAAACAAACAGGTATAAATCCATACATTCCACGTGGCACGTGATATTGAAGGTAATGATAGTAATTAATATTATGAACCATGATCACAGTGAACACGATGTCGAGCAGTCTCTTCTCAGTCTCTATCTAAATGCTTCTTAACAATAATTATATCTGAATAAAAATTATTCCATGATAGAGAATAAGGACATCTTTCTAGTTGTATATAGTGTACACCCAAACAATTTCTTTTGTTTACGTTTAGAAGGAAGTTATTTGTTGAGCATGACAAACAAATTTATAATATATTATGAAATAAGATTGTGTACTCAATCTTTAGTTTTCATTTCTACCATTGAAGTCCTCAGTTATTAAAAAAAAGTATTTTTACAGTAAGTAATATATTTTTTGGTGGTATACTAGAAACACATATTAAAAACAAAATTCAGTGATATGAAAAGGCATCAGTACCTTTGTCTCAAAAATTAAAATAATGCCTAGATGTCTTTTTGCAATTAAAAATAAATATTGGGTACATTTTTTATAAAGTTGTTATTCAACAACGGGTGCTTTTTAAAAATTAAAATTGACTATTGAAACAACGTAAAGAAACGTGTAAATCTTTTAGAAGTTCTCGACGGATATTTTATACAAATATATATCTTATACAGTTTATTCCAACTCTCATTCTCGATGTAATCAAATTATCTTGATACTTTTTGGCAGAAACAAATGTTTTACATATCAAGTGTATTCTTCATAAACTCGTTAAGAACCTGACACGCATACGCGAACACACACATACACACACGTGCATCTACCCACCCAGTATACGCGCGCATGCGGAACGTGTTCAATTATTTAACGCCCTTATCGGACTGCGTGATATGGAACATTTTCCTCATTCATAAATCATGGAAAGTATGAATCGTTAACGAAACAGAATGATACATAGCAACTTGTTAACTGCAAACTCAGGAACGCACAATCGGACATCAAGTGCATTCATCTATTTTGGATACGTGTATTAATAGTATACAATTCCGTTTACGAAACCACGTCCCGTAGAAATGTCGGAGCTCTCCTTTTGTTATTCCAGTTGCACTCGAGTTGTTCGAATTCTCTTTGACAACAATCGACTTTCTCGGTGTTTGCCGGCCTAATTGCGAACTTTCTTACAGAGCTATACTAGCCGAATAGTTCATTTACGTTTACTATTTCCATACTATGGTGTATGTATATTTAATCGCATCGTCGCGACGCGACACGTCGATGAGAAATTAATCGAACTTCAACAATCTGTTGTATGTTCTCGTGAAATTTTCAAAGTGCTTCAATTTAATCTGTTCAAAAGATAAAGGGTACAGGCATGTAATTTTCGTTAAATCACAATTCAATTTCGTTAACTTGCACACTCTATCAGGTTCAACGAAAGTGGAAGTGACGTCATAATCGATATTTACTATAGAACAGCATTTTATGAGTCAAAACATCCTCACGACACATTACAATACCTCGAACGATAAATTACAATCCAAAACATCCCTTTTCATGAAAATCTTGTTCGTTTTAATTCGACAATTGAAAATTATGTTAAAATAATAATTTTGTATTTTACACGACAGAAATAATTGTAGATTTAGCGTCATAAAGTGAAACAATTGAATTTACAACATTGCTCGGTTGTCATTTTACCTCAACACGACTACTATTAATGCTTTATGAATGATTTCAGAGATATAATCGCAAGATATCCACTCAGAGCAACGGCAAATACCGAGAAATATTAAAGGGTCGTTTTTCGTGCATGTGTAGGTACACTCAATTGTGGATATTTTATTACACGTTATATGTGCGTACTCTATGTGTACATTATGTAAAATATTTTTTCTACCTAAGAGATTTATCTATATACGCTTTTCCCGTACGTTTTCTGAAATAGTTTATCGTTTTCCTTTTTAACTATC